GGGGGCGGCGGAGGCGCGGAGGCGGACCCCGCCGCCGAGCCCAGCATCCGCCCGCCCTCGCCGCCCATCGCGGGAGCGCGCGGCCCCTCCGCGGACGGTGAGTGCCTCAGTGCCAGTGGGTTCGCGAGGGGGCGCCGAGAGGCATCGTAAGTGAGGGGAGAGTGCGCAAACTTGCAGTGACTCGTTTTGTTCTCGGGATTTCGTGTCTCTTGAAATAACTTCGTTTTCTGTTAATGCTATTCTTTAGACGTATCTTTTATATGTTGTGGATGTGTTTCGTGTATTATGTGTTGTGTTGGAAGTTGTCTAAATCGCAATGGCAGCGTTTTTTTCTTGTCAGTACATTGAACATATATAGGCAATGAAGTGTTGTCAATCACCTTCTCCGTAAACTTCAAGACGTGAGTGGTTACAGTGACAATTTGCTTCGCCTCTGTACGTATCTACCTTCCCCTTGGACAATACTGGTTTTAAGTAATACATTTTGTCCTATTTGATTTCATGGAAATGATTAATCAATTATTTTGTTTATTTGATATCAAAGTACAGGTTAAAAGTTCATGACGTATGTAGAAGACGTAGGACCTACAGAATGTGAATGTGATCAAGAACATGATCATGTTGCATCCGTAGAGAAGACGATCATCATTCCATATATCATACCATATTGTAAATCCAGAAAAATTTTGTCATTTATGCTGCCAATACCATCTCAGACGATACCTCAGTTATATGTTTTGCAAGCCGATGAAAATCTTGGAAGCGAGTAATACTCACAATGTAATTTGATTAGTGTAATATCCTGAAAATTACAAGGGGGAATTGAAGGTCGCTGAGAGCAGATACGTATTTACCTCAAGAGTATATGAGATATTTAACAAATTGTATTTGGAAGAGATTCGCTTGGTGCATTCTTTAAAGACATATACAAATAATATTTTGCATTTTTTACGTTTGTATATAATTTAATTATATTAATAATATTTTTATTCTCTTCACCTCGAATGAGTCCAATTCTAATTACGTTTTTGATTTTATGTTCTTTTAAGTATTTATATGAACACGAATTACATAAAATCCGTAATTTATTTGCTGTTATGTTTGTGTTTGCCATACAATGTAACACCTTTGTCGTGTATTTTTATCTGCATCGGCACGCAGTATTGATCCTCATAAAGTAAAGTTTATTTATGGTGAAATGTTCGTTCAATTATTTCGCATTTTTTATATTTCATTAATTATTTCGTTTGATTTTTGAAAATTTTGCTCATTTATTAAGAAAAAATGACACTTTAATTTGAAATTAGTTTTAAAGTTCAGTATGTAGAATCGCTAATTAATTTTAAAGACGACTTCCAGAAACAATTGGATTACCATTAATTGTAGAACACAAATGCATTTATAAGCAACATTTGTCAGCACTATCAACTGAGTAAATAAATGGAAAGTCAACAAATGTGTATAAAGGCATATTAATTATTGAACTTTAAAATTACATCAATGGGGAGAATGTGCCATGTTCTTCAGCATATGAGAGATATTGGGTGAACTTTGTGTGGTGATTTCTGTAAACTTACATGTAAACTTTGTAGGCCTATACGGGTTTGTCTAATAGATATAAAAACATATTTGTTTTGATAAAGATTAAACATAGATTCAGCGATGAATGAAGGATCATTAACTTTGAAGCAGTGACGTAACATGTAGTTGCTCTCTCGTAAGTACAACGATGGCGCCAGATAGAGAATATCTGCTTGAAACGATTTCATCGTCCCATTCATTCGTGCTAGAGTAGTAAATTGGTGCATTTATTTCTATGAGCTGCTGCACGCGGCTTGTGCTTTTTGTCCTCCTCTACAAGCTTTCGACGAGATCCTTTGTTCTTCCCTGAGTGATGCCCTTTGTAAAGGTTATGCCAATAAATCTTCCCCCGCACATTTCTGTGCGGTGTCAGATGCTAATTAAACTCCATGCGAGAAAGCTGTTGGGATTTGAGTGACCATACGTGTTTTGAGATTTTATTTAATGTGAAAAAGCAATGGTAAGGAAGGATTTCCGTGTAACAATGGGCCGGAGGGAAAGGTCAATATTCTTGGACGATAATCTTTTATTCTCCTTGGCAAAGAAATGGGTAGGATGTGAGGCCCATTCGAACTGGTTCTTTTGGTACATCTGTTTAAAAGTTACTACATTTCTTTCTTGGGCGCTCCATAAAGAAAGCGTATGCATACGACCTTATGATTTCTAAATCTTATTTTCTCGGCAAGGATTTTTTCAACACAACGGTGTCATTTCATTGTACCCAATGAGTAATGAACATGGACTGTATTATGATGACATGAAACCTTTTAATTTAAAAAATCAAACACATTGCCAGTGTATATACAAATTATGAGCATGGCCATCGAATTGTAGTTATAACTGCGTCAGTTTTAATTTTTTTAAATACGGATTCTTTTTCATAATTTTCAAGATTTTACATCTTACTAATTTTTCAATAACATTTTTTTATTGAGCGTTTTTACTTACTTTCCTGCATTTAAACTGTTCATATACTATTTTCAGTCGCGAATTTCTTATATTTGAAAAATTGTGTGTTGATTTGTCAGGTTGCCAAAAACTGGAAGAGCAATACAAAGCAAAGGATAGACATCTTTGCTTGGTTTCAAAATAGAGTAAACGCACTTTTCCCAATTATTTATATTATAATGAAGAATAATGTAAATAATGTCGTAGTAAATGATTTTCTTAGAGAATATTACAATATAATTCAGTGAGAAATGTGCGTTTTATTTCGTATTCGTTGCTCTTCTTTTATAAACGTCTTTATTGTTCCGTCATTTCTTTTTTTAGCATTTTAGATTTAAAAAATCGAACTCTGGTTTTGAAAAATTCAGAATTTTAGGACTTTATCCGATGGTCAATTACAGTTGCCTCAAAACCCTTGCACAACAGTTGTTCAAATAATCCAAAATGTAATGAATTGATTCAGCAGTTAAGTATTCCATTAATTTCATTCGTAAGCGAAATAATATAAAGATTAACCCAAATTACGTATATTTTAAAAATTACATGTCTTAAATGTTCGAATCTTTCCGTATCTTATATATTTTTAGGTATCTTACGTACCCAAATTACGTACAATTTTTAAAATGTAATTGATTGGTAATTTCAGATTTTTTTGTAGATTAAGCTGAAGTATCACAGAAAGAATTCTGTCTTCTTTCATTTATGCTTATGTTGAGGTCAGATAGAGTTTTTATGTGTTCCAATTGCCAAGCACACATTCTTAGATTTTTCGTAAAGTATAATTTGTATAATTTTATAGTATTCGTGTTTTCATTACTTTAGTCATCTATAATTTCTATTTTAAATCAGTTGTCTGTAAATGTTACTAAAACGTTCCTTCGCACAGGTTAACACTTATAATCGCTCTAAGCTTTTACAGAAATTATGTGAAAAATATAGTTCTATACAGGTTTATTAATCTTTAGGTTTGTATTTTGTACGTAGATATTTTTAGTGGATTTTCCAAAATTTTGAAAAACGGGAAGTTTAAATTATATAATAAAATGTGTATATCCAAGAACGTTTCCAATGAAAAGTTCAGAGAAATATTTACAATTCTTACGAATGGCACTAGTGTCCTTTAACACCTTTTTTAGCTACAAAATTGTGGAAATTCTTCAGTCTGCATGTAGTTAATGCCATGAATTAGTTAATGCCAAACGACATTTGGCCCATTTTCTGCATGTCAAATTTTAAAAAACGAATTTACGAGGTTTCTCTCTCTCTCTCTCTCTCTCTCTCTCTCACTCACTCACTCACTCTCTCACTCTCTCCTTTCTCATTTTTCCTCTCTCTCCTCTCTCTCCTCTCTCCTCTCTCTTCCCTCTCCTCTCTCCTCTCTTCTCTCTTCTCTCTCTCCTCTCTCTTCTCTCTCCTCTCTCCTCTCTCTTCCCTCTCCTCTCTTCTCTCTCCTCTCTCCTCTCTCTGCTCTCTCCTCTCTCTCCTCTCTTCTCTCTCCTCTCTCTTCTCTCTCCTCTCTCTTCTCTCCTCTCTCTTCTCGCTCCTCTCTCTTCTCTCTCCTCTCTCTTCTCTCTCCTCTCCTCTCCCTCCTCTCTCCTCTCTCCTCTCTCCTCTCTCCTCTCTCTTCTCTCTCTCCTCTCTCTCTTCTCTCTCCTCTCTATCTGCAGAGTACGTTCATTTTTAAAATCATAAAAAAATCATTTCATCTCAAATAATTTACTCTTGAAAACTATCCAGACGTAAATTAATTTAGGGAAATCGCTCATTCAAGAGTAAATATACTCTCCTCGGAACACCGTACAACAATATCCATGTGCGAAATTCTGAATCGATTGAGCGGCGCGGGGTCCGCTCTGAAATTGCGGGCGGTTCCCCGTTGCGCGCAACCTGCCGTCGTACGAGGCGCGTATTTATTGTTTTACATGGAGCGCTGTGGGGGTTGCGCCTCACTCTCATATTTATTAGCGCGCGCCGGGCAGGGCAGGGCAGGGCAGGGCAGGGCCGAGAGGCGCCCCGGGCGAAGCAGCCCAAAGCCCCTTTCAAGGGCCGCGCATTAAGCGGGCGGGGGCGGGCGGCGGCGGGCTGGTGGGCGCGCGGCCCACGCAGCGGGCGAAGGGCCTCGTTAATAAATCACCTGGCCGCCCGCCGCCCGCCAAACCCGGGGCCTCGAACCCTGTCCGCTCGCTGACCGCCGCCCAAAGGAAACTATACGATGGCACTCGTGCGGCACCTTCATTGAAAACAGCCCACTTTTAATACTGCTTCCAGGGGAAGGGGTCTTCCCCCTTACACGGATTCCACTCTAGGTTTTTTTATAGTGATTGTGATCGAAGACGCATGAATCGGAAAAAGAAATGATGTCATTCAAATATTTTATTAGAAATTAGGGAGCGAATACTTTCTTATCGAATCTTGTCAAAAACGTTCCTTGTTACCTGCAATGTATTACAATATATAAGTTAGGATACGGAACCCAGTGCTCAAAAACTCGTGCAAAGATTGCACTTCTCTTCTATAGTACGGTTTTTACCTGTTTTTGATGTTAAATAAATAAAAGGGATTGTCTTGACGATCGAGATTTTGTATTCATACTTTTTCATTATCGATTTTCTTTGTTTTTGTCATTTCATGAGAAACGTAAAATCTCACTTTCTGTTTTGTGTTCACACAACTTCATGAACGTTATTTCGTTCCACTTTTAATTACGGGCTGAACATGTATTTACTTTGTTGTATGTGCTAGTTTGATTACACGCAACTTGAATTTTGAGAAATGAAAGTGTCTTCCATGGAATCAGAAAAATGGTCTACGAACCGTATTCTGTTCTTTTGCGAGTACTTTCCTTTCGTCTGTAATTTTTGCGCAACCATATTTCTCTCAAAATAATTATCCTTCTTGCTGTACATAGAGTGCAGATATGTTTCAGCAGTACTGCTAAATAATTGAGATAATTTTCTGTTTACTAAGGGAAGAAATTAATAGAAAACACTATAAGGTTTCATTTATATTTTGTGATACAGTAGTTTTAAACGGCAGTTCGTCTTTTTAACTGGAACCCCACTCCATGTTTTGGATCACTGATGGCTATTAAAGCATGAAATGCATTGGACTGTGAATGATGAGCAATAATTCAATAGAATTGATTCCTCAGAAATTTTGCTGTTTACATTATTTTGTTATGTAAAGAGGCGATACAATACTAATTTAATTTGTTTAACAGCATTATTCATTTACCTCACATTTAGCTCACTAGTGTCATTATTTCAGTCATAAGTGCCGCTAACTGAATGTGTAAACAATTTCAACAGTATATTTGGTGTATATGTGTTTTGTTCTAGCAGAATCTCTCCTGAATTCTGGAATTTTTTCTAGAGATTGCTCTAATAATTATATTAACGCTTTCTAATTTCGGGTTGAGGCTTTTTTGGGCAAGGCATACCACGAAAATCACCCTCACGGCCCTCATGTCAGAATTTGATGTCTAAGAGAGATGCTCATTGAAGAGATGACGGGAGGGGTGAAGGTTTAGAGCTACGCTGCACATACATACCTGTATTATGATAATTTCGGTAGAATTTGAAGGTAATAATTTTGCATTAGACTGTAATATAGTTCTATAAGCTCTGATGTATTATGTTTTAAAACTTGAGGATTTACCAATTCGATCAAAGAACACTTATTTGAAGTATTCTTCTCGCTTCCTCCATCTCTCCTTCCCCTTCTCTCCTTCCCCCTCCGTCGCTCCACTTCTCCTTCCTCCTCTCCTTCCCCCTCTACCATCTCCCCCCTCTCTCATCTAACTGATCTGCCTCATCTCTATCTTCTGTGTGTGTCCCTCTACCTGGGCGCGCCTGCCGTTCCCTTGTTAGTTCCCTGAATGAAGGAGCGGAAAAGCCGCCTCTTGCTGTGAGGCGGAGGTGTACACCCCTGCAGGTGTGCGTTCGCGTCGCGCCGCGTCGCGCGGTCCACGGGCGCGCGGCTTGCCCCTCTCCGCAGAGCCGCGGCCGTCGACGTCCCGAGCGACGCTGGCGGGCGCGGACGGCCTGCTGCTTGCGGGGGAGCGGGGGCGTCGGGCGCCGCACGCCGCTGCCGTGATGGGCGCGGCGCGCGCGCTGCCCAAGCTTCAAGTCGGGCGTGGGGTCGCTGGAACCGGCAACCCGGCCCCGCCGCCATGCGCCTCGCTGGACAACGGAGCGCCTTGCAGTGCGAGGTGCCGAGCTGCGCAAGCTGGTCGCCGGGGCGGGCGGTGGGAGCAGCCGCCGTGACGGCTGCGGCGGCGCGGCGGGGGCGTCCGGAGGCGACGAGTCATCGCGCGTGGCGGGTTGGAGCTGGAGCTGCCCGGCAGGCGCGGGAGGCCCCTCGGCCGGTGAGTGGAGTGCGCGCGCGCGCAGTCAGCGCGCCCCCCGCCCCTCTGGCTGGGCCATGGGCGCCCTCGGGGGCCGGGAAGTTGGGCGAGCGGGAAGTGCTCACGAGCCCACGAGCGACCGGGCCCGCGAGGGCGAGGGGAACGCGCCCCCCCACCCGTTGCCCCGGAAACAGGCAGTGGGGCCCTTTTGCGGAGGCTGCTCAGATATCGACTGCCACGTTCCAGCTAATTCAACTTTTTAACTCCACAATGTTGAAAGTAGAGTGCACTAATCGAAGATCATTGCTACGAACTGGAGTTTCTTGGAAGCTTACGTTCGTTTTTACACTCTCTCTTTATAGACACGGCCATTACTAATTTACGGTAATACATGAATGATAATATTAAATGTTGTGATACTGCCTAAACAGTGGCTTTAGGGTCAACACTTAGGGGTCACCGCTCAGGGGGTTGTGAGGGGGTCACGCGCAGTTCTGAGAAGCCTAGGTTCGTAGAGGGGGGGGGGGGCGGCGGGCCGCCGGCACAATGCGAAATGGACGGCGTGAGTGGTGAGGAGATGAAGTGGCCCCCGGTGTTGCCACATTACCTGGGTCACGATGTCCTGAATCAAGCTCGTTGGGCTGGCCTGTGTAATACGAAGGTTGTGAAAGTCAAATATGAAGAGGTTAGAGATCTCAGAAACGTGCCCGCTGCTAGTACCTTCAATATGGCTCAAAAACTAGCTTGACCTGACGCCTTCGGTGGTGGGTTCTTTCATGTTCAAAATTGTATTTTGTGCTATTCAAGATCCTATTAAGAGAAACTTGAAAAACAATAAAGTTGCCTAGCTTGTCTATTCACAGAACCACAAAATTATATGAAAAAATATCTATAAAAATACTTTTTTTAAATCGTCTTTCATTACATTAGTAGGTATAGTAAATATAATGAATCATGTTGAAAGGATTCATGTTAAGTCGGAAATGCAGTTTACTAATCGACAGTGTTTCAACACTGTATGTCTTAAAGCCCCCCAAAAATATTTTTCTTAGACTTCTTCCAGAATATTCTGGAAAGATATGGCTAAAAATAGAGCCAATCTATTCATCGTATCGAAAGCAATAGAATTTAATTATTTTTGTAAGTGGCTTTAAAACCCCCACAATGAGTTTTGAAAGCTTAACCTCCACTCCAATACTTTTTTCGATAATTCATCCCCAAATTAGGTTTAATTATCGTCAATATGATGGATCAAGTCGTAACTATTCATGAGTAAATGTCGGAAAGATAGTCGAATAGTTCACAGCGTTCTATGAATGAATGCTTTCGTAAGTGTACTGAAACCGTCAAAACACGTTCTTTCTTCAACTATGAGTCCTCCGCTGTCCGGGAGACGCCGCGTCCTAGGCACACAGGATAACGTTTCGGCCGTCATGCTGCGACCTTCCTCGGTATTTTGCCGGCCAGTCGCCCTGAGGAAGGTCGCAGCTTGTTATATTTATATTATTAGCATCTTTGCCTAGGACGCCGTGTCTCCCGGACAGCAAGTAGACTGACTCCGACCACGAAAGCCAACGCGTTCATGTTCTTTCTCGATTTCTTCCGCAATATCCAGGAGATACAAGTGTTACCAATATATTTGTCTTGATGAGAGGAATTGAATGAGCTATTAATCACTTTTGGAGATACAATAAGTCACCCAAAACGCATTTTAGTTGCTTAAAAACAAAATAAAGTTTTTTTAGAGAAATATCTTTTGGATGGATCTGAAACAAGATTATAAGTTACCAAGGAGATCTCTCAGAGAGTGACGGTCAGTCGGACGGATCGATGGACTGACGCAGGTTGTTCGATTACTATATAATTTATAAATAATAATAATAATTTATATATATAACGTAATATGTACTACTGAACGAGCGATGGATGTATGCAGTGTACAAAGCAAATGTATTAAAAGTAAAGTATAGGCCTCTTTGGTGCTGGAAACTTACTTCAGTTGGTGCAGGACAGTAAAACCGAAGTTTACCCTTAAGAAAATGACGGCTTCGTGAGACGAGGTCGATGTTTTTGTTGCAACTACTCCAGACGCGTTCCGAATCAACCGAGAAAATGCAATGCCTCCATTCCCATGTTCTTCAAAATACATAGTGAGATAATTTGAGAAAACAAATTATTATTGCGGCTTCCATGGCAGTATTAGGAATTTACATCCCTTTCTATAGTGTGCGGAGTTACAGTTAAAGCCCCCATTTAGTTTTCCGAGAAAAAAAGTCTCAAAAAATGTATATTTGTTTCTCGTTTAAACATTGCATTATATTAACATGTGATTAAAATTTGAATATGTTACTTTTTGCTAAGTTACATAATATTATTTCCAATCTGTATCAAATTGGGCAATCCTTCTAGGTATTTCTTTTCCAGTCTTAGGTAATCGAAATGAAGGTAAATAAAGTTATACAGATAAAGTTTTGATTTACTCGCTATAATATTGAAATTGACTGGTAGATAACTACATTACTTTTTATCGATCAAGTTTTCAATCAGCATAATTTACTCTTGGGAAACACCTGAAGAATAGTAAATGAAATATCGGGATGCATCTTTCCATTTAGCATATGTGTATTATTTGATAGAACCATAATTATCATCTAATCAAAATGTCAGAACGAATATTTCTCGCATTGACGTTTCTGTGCAAGTTTTCTTGTAGTTAATGTGAACTTGAGAATTCCTCGAAAGAAACTTGTCAAATCGTGTCTATCGAAGGGAACTTTTTCTCAAACGAACTTCTTGACGTTTGCTTCTCTCGTTGGGTTGAAAGTTTGGTGCTGTAGTTTGTACGATATAACTGCTCAGTCTACTTCGATGATGATAAACGTTTACCATTGTCAGAAGTTAGAATACAATCCCTTTCTGTGCCTTTCCAAGTGTAGTTTGTACTTCATATTCTAGAACCGAGGAAACAGACCCATTTGAAATCGGTTGACATGAGGAGGGGAGAACCTAATTCGAGACAGACTAGTGGCCATGAAAAGTGGTTACTCGTTACACGTGACTACAAACAGCCTCAATATAGTAAAATGTGTAATGCAAACTGTAAAATTTCAGTTTTGTTTAAATATAAGTCTTCCAAAACTGTTTTAAAGTGAAATCGGCATATTTTTGCGTTAATTTAATGTTTTTAATTGGGTGTTTCTTTCATTCGCTTCCTTTCGTCAAAATTATAGCATGTACCCTTATTAGAAAACCTCTAACATAACCATATCATATTTATCATAATGAGATAATGTGTAACATTTATCAGTGGTCTTTTTCTACGCTTCAACGAACGACGTTTTTAACAGTGAAATTTCAGATCTCCTAAATTTAAGATCCAGGATGTATAGCAGTGAGGTAGGTATCGTGGAAGAAACTGTCGTAAACCCTACTTGATTGACATTGAACAGAATCCAAATAGGGTAGTGTCTGAGAGCACATCCTATGGCAACCGACTAATGTGTGATGTCACTTGGAGATTCTGGGCAAACATTCCTTCCTAAACTAACGGAGCTCAACCGTGTTTAACTTGGATAACTACAGTGACCCAGTTTTTGTAAAACGTTTAGTATATTATTTCAGAGAGAGATTAAGGCTTGTGGAACAGAAATCTTGAATTTTTAGTTTCGAAAAATATTTGAATAAATTTAAACTTACAGATTTGTCGAAAGTTAATTCATATTTACTATTGTTTCCTTTCTTCAAAGCCCTTATGGTATTTCTCGCATCCTAACAGTTTTTTGTTTTTGTTTTTTTCATTTTCACAAAATCCTTCTCCTGCAGGATTCCACTGCTCATGTTAGTTATGTCTAATATGCTCACACTCCGTTTTAATATCTCTGTCATTTTGGTTCAAAACTCTCATTTTCGCTTTATGCATTATGAACCTCTACTACATGTTTTGTTTTTTTTAATCACTTCTTATAGTTTTTCGTACATACAGTATTTTAGCCAGTGTAAAATGTTCTGATGGACATTTTAAATGTTCACTTCACTTCCCCCTCCCGTCAAAAAATTACGCTGCACATTATGCTGCAAACTGTCCATGTGTAACCTTATTTTTTCATTACTATATGTATGTTCTCATTTTCCTTTTTAATTTTAAATAAGGAATTGGTACAAATGGTGTCAACGAATGAGATTATACTCAGCAAGTAACGAATAAATCCCTATATCCTGCTAACGACACAAACTTTCATGAAGCTATAAGAGAGCACAGTTCAGTAATAGTATTACGATTTCGTTTCGGTAAGTCTTATAAAAAGTAGTTAAATTATATGAAGAATCATACTTGTTATTACTCTCCAATTTAATTTTAAAAATGAGCTCTCATTGAAGATTTGTTCATTAACTTTCTTAACGTATTTTCTACAGATTATTATTGTTTTATTATTATTATTATTATTATTATTATTATTATTATTATTATTATTATTATGGTACCCAATTATTTCAAAAAAGCAGAGCATCTGCTGAACATGTGGTTTGTCCCACTTTAAACGGTCATTTGACAAAAATAGTTGACTCGTGTTAATTGAATGTAAAATGACGCACTTACTTTTAAGATTCACGTCGTACAAATAACTCATTATTGCCGAAAATGGACTTCTGCTGTTTCCGAAACAAGTTGCTTCGCTTTTATTTCATCCGCTGATGACCCATATTAGTTACTAGAGAAATGTGGCGTCGCCGACGATTTAAACTGTTTTAAAAATAGTTTCACGTGTTGAAAATTTTATTCACACTTCGTTTCTTTCATGTCCAGCTTATGTTCTTTCTGTATCTGGCATTGGGCTTATCAATGAATCATAGAAGTTATATTTACGTTCAAATGTTCCCAACCCACAATAGCCTTGGATGTTACCTCCAAACGGGATATGAACTGATCTTATTGCAGTGTCAAAATGATATCACGCGTAACAAGTCCTTGCAGATTTTGATGATGCTAATAGTTAAATTTTAGTACAGCTACATTTTACGCTTTTTTGCTAATATGCACAAAAATGCACATCGTGCAAATTTCCATTAGTACAAATGCTAAATGCAGATCATTCCCAATTAGTTCCGAAAGTTCTGTCGCAACATCTTTTACAACTACATTTGATTCTTCCCCGGATTTCCTTAACACTTCCATATTTTTCTCTCCTAATTTTTGAAGAGATTAAAACTTCACAAACTCAGTCTAATTTGTGTTCATTTATACTTCTGCAATTTCTCTATTAATCGTTTTGTATGCGAATCTAACGTTTCATGCAAATCAAACATTTAAAGTGATTATTTTATATGTATATGTGAGTAAGGCGTTAGTAAAGTTTAATAAAAATAGGTTGTGGGTAACATTCATTTGAAAATCGGTATTTGCACACTTATGTAAGAAGTTAAAAGTGCAAACAAACATAAAAACGTTTATTCATTCTCTAGCATTACGGGCCGCGGTGTATTTCCCTCCGCGTGTTGGTGAGATCCGGCGCCGACCTACACGTCAGCTTGCGGGGGGGGGGTCGCCATACAGATACCACCCAAGTTGGGGCAAGCTCTAAGCTCTCGTCATGTGTGGTAGTGTAGTCATGGAAGTTTGTGTGCGAGTAAGGAGTGAGCATAGAACAAGGAAAAGGAAGGAAATATTGCGTGTGGTCCACGGCGCGTTTATTAGGGCCTTGCTCCGGAATTCGCTTGGTACTGATTGGAGAAATTATACGGAAAATTAACCAATAGAGCAGCCGACCACCAGATTTCTCCTCCAGACAGAGGCCGAACTCGATTCAGCTATCTAGCTGGTGTCGAAAATTCTGGCACCGTCGGTATTCTAACCCTATGTCCTCTAAAGGGCTCAGCAGTGTCATCAGTTGATTTGGCAAGCACTGTTTGGCGGCTTATCTTACTGCTCTGAGTCAGTATAAAACCCCCCAGTAGACAGGTTTCCAGCGAGTTGCGAAAGGTTTCATTTAGTTCACACAGGGTTCACTAGAAGATGAAGTAGTCTCTCACCCTCGTACGCTCGATTCCCAGTCAATTTGGCCGAATCTTTCCTATGAGGTCAGAGGTCAATGAATTATGTGACCTTCCTGTAGTTTAAGACTTGTATCATGTTTACGGTAACATTGCGTTTTCCTAAAATAAAAAGGGCCACAGTAGCATCATTTTTCCGACTTTTCTTTTCTAAAAACGTCTGCTTTTTTACTCTCTTTGTTCCTCATAATGCTTAAGAATATTAGAAAATATATGCTATTAAATGTGATACTATGTAATTTCATTTTAGAATAGATAAATGTTGAAAGTTGCAGGAAGAAGAAAATTCAAGGTCCTCATTTAATCAACCTTATTATTTTAGGTGGCGGACGGCAGGTAAAAATAATTATTTAAGATTCAAGAGGCACATTAATTGAAAATTGCCCTGTTGATTAGAATTGAGCTCTCGATGTGCAGTCACGATGTGCATTACGGCGTCCGTCGAGGACTACCTGTTAGAACGCACGTTTTATTTCGCTGACATTTTAAATTCTTAACTTTCAATCTTATAATCCTGGCTTCCCAGGCTGAAGCTGATAAATTACAAACTCATCAACTTACGTCGCTGAGCATGGAGACCACTCTCCTCTTGAGATTCCACCTGAATCTGATTTAGAAACCTCCAGAGACAACGCACCAGCTCTTGCTTTCCTGTTACCTCGTGCGATCTTCACGTTGTCAACCTGTTTTTGTTTCTCACACAAAGTCAATATCATCGCTGATGAAAACAAAATAGTTTTGTTACTCTGGAAGTTACTTACAAAGGGAAGTTTGGAAATTGATGTTTCATGAAGCTTGTTCTCGGCAACATGGACCATTTATTATACTTGGACATGTATAGCAAGCCTTGTATCCTTGTTTCCCGCGTCCACCGTTGGACAGACAGCAAAGTGAGAGTAATGGATGGACTTTTTTGTCTCCTCTGTCCTATGAGATATATGACCACGGAACTATTTATACTAAAAGAAAGAAAAAAAACATACATGAAAATGTGCCCGTTATTTTGATGAAATTAAATTCAATGGCTCAAAACAAAATATTAACGACTATACTTACTTGAAATTTACAAAATAGTACATTTCCGCCGGAAAATCAATATTATACATTTTTGATGAAACCTTGTTGTGGTATATTAAAAAAACTTTTCATACCATTTCTTTATGCTGTTCATTATGACTGTTAGTTAAACTGAGTGAGAGTTAGTTTTGAATTAGAATGTTTACTTGACATCTTCAACATTTTTTTCCTTTGCCGCAGGAGGTAATTTTTCAGCGTTGGCTAAGCAGCTCACTCTAACGACCTTGCGCTTCGTTCTTATCGAATTATTTACATAGCGGGAGGGGATTTAATGGCTTTCGCCGGCAGAATTTTCTTCATATCCCTGACCTGGCCTGGCAAATTCTGGAGAAAAGGAAAAGCTGATCATATGCCAAACTGTCTCATTTCTTTTTTACTTTTTCTTCGTGAAATGTTACAAAGGATGTACTAAAAACTCACAACAGCCTTCGCAGCTAAGGTAGAAGAAAAACTTGAGGGAAAAGGATATCTCTGAAAAAAATACGGCGTATTTTCTGTGAAGTTTTATTAACAATTTATGAAATCAGCCACTTTCTTACCCAAACATTATTGTTGATAACATACAATCACATACAATCATACAATCACATAGTCATATCCATCTTTCTTTGAAACGTTTATAAATTTGTTTACAACCTTGTGGAAATTAAAAAATTAAATGTAACTGGGACTTTGACAACGAGGGCTTTGTCAAATGCTTATAATATCGGGATGAAATGTTGCGAGTCCGCGTCCACGATAACCGTTGCATTTCACACGATCGTTGGATATAACTTCAACTTCGCACGCGCATCAAGCGCACGATGTGGGTCATCAGCAAATGGTGTCTGCTTTCTTAGAGGCCGAGCTTGACGTTTGTGCTGGCCGAGGCGTCACCCAGCTGCCAAATTTACGCTCACCGCTGTATGAGCTCCTTGTGTAACACACAGAATGTAACTAAACTGAAGGTGGCCAGTTCTTTCGTGGACATTGTTGTTCTTCAAGTGAGCATTTGATGTCTTGTAGACAGCTGGGCAAAATTGAATCTCTGGAATTGTTTTAGAGCGAATTAACGCTATTACGAGTACCTGACGTTTAGGGAGGTCACATCGCGAGACGAGGAGACGCGAGGGGACTCTGGTCACTAAATATTCCGATTCCTCACTCGCGTGTAGACTAGTAAATAACGCTGGTATGATTTCCGAACTACGTAGTTCGTCGTGTTTCACCTGGACTACGTTTTCATTACAATTATTGCAGACCGGACCAACACCGATCCGCGCCAACTGGAAGTCGGTAGACCACTAGACATGCGTCGTTTACGGTTTTAAGGAGCTAGGGGACTCAGGTCACTCACTAAACGTCTGGCACAAACAATGCACGCGTTGATTGCCAACTAAACGACATTTACAGGATGTAAAGACCCATCCCGCTGCTAACGTAGCCAGCAGCTCTGGTCTCCAGGGTTGCTGCCCGTTGAAACAGCGGTCGCTTTATGCGGATTTCAGCGCTGAAGGCGGACCGCAAGCGCCTCAAGGCCGAGAAGTTCGACCTGCTGAACCAGATGAAGCAGCTGTACGGCACGCTGGAGGACAAGGAGAAGGAGCTGCGCGACTTCATCCGCAACTACGAGCAGGTAAGCGGTGAGGCGAGGCAGGGGGGCGGGGGCGGGGGCGGGGCGCGCGGGCCGCGTCTACCCGCCCGCTTTGTGCTGTCCCAGCGGATGAGGGAGAGCGAGGCCTCGTTGCAGCAGCTGACGTCGGAGCGCGAGGAGCGCGAGCGCGAGCGCTGGAGCCTGCTGCGGCACGCGCGCGACGAGGCCGAGCGCAGCCTGGCGCTGGCGGCGCAGCTGGAGCAGCGCGACGCGCAGCTGCGCGCCCTGCAGGACCAGCTCGCCGAGGTAAGCGGCTTCTTCTTCTGCAGGCTTCAGACTCGCAGTGCTCCTCTTCACACACTAACGCTTCGTTCGACGAAGGTCTGTCCGGCTAATCTTGAGATGAATTGCGCCAAAGTGGGGTAGGCCGTTTTCTGAAAAACATAGAAAACCGAGAAAAACAGGGAATGTCATTGCTCTGGAAAAGTCAGAGGAATATCAAAGAGTTTGTAGAAGAATTCCTAGAAGCCAGGTGAATTTTTCAGAGGCTTATACAACTAAATATTCCTCGGTACAACATTATTTTTGCTCAATGTTTTTTCGTTGAGAAAATATTGTTAATTTCTACTTTCTCACGGTAAAATGAGAGATCTGAGCAAGTAGTATCAGGTTTTATATTTTTTTTAAATAGTGTAAAATTAAAAACTTATCAGGAAAACATAAAAAATTTATCTGAAAACACGAGAATAGTCAGGGAATCCAGGAAATGAGTGACCAACTTGGAAAATTACCTAGCCTGAAGTATTTTTCGATCACCTTTCCTTTTATTTTACAATTTGATAACAGTCTGTGTTGTTTTAAAGGGTGTTGGCTGGTTACTTCACACTTCAGACACTACGTTCCTCTGCACTCCCAAGCACATCAACATCCACATTCATTAGGAAATTAGTGACCGGTTACTCTATAGAAATATTGCGTACCTCTTTAAGCACCAACTGCAGGCTAGCATAGCCAAGACTGAAGTAGCTTTTATGTTTTCTCTCACATTTTTATTACAGTCTATATTGTTTTAGAGGTCGTTGGTAGTTTACTTCAAGCTTCAACTATCGCCCGTTGAGAAGCTCGTTTTTTTCAGACCACTACGCAATATTTCTATATATTTAAAACAGAGGTTTTCGTTTATTAAAAAACTTTCTATTCATTTTATTTACATTTATTTATTAGAACTGCAATTGGGTATGACCCGGTGGCAGTTAAGTGACAATAATTGCAAAAATTACAACACTTACATTAATAATAATAATAATAATAATAATAATAATAATAATAATTAATAATAGGAGTACAGTACAATACAGTACAAGACGAAAAGCAGCACTGAAAAGTGCATTGATCACGTTCACCGCACTTCACTTCACTTTGCTTCACTACACTTTACTACACTTTTTTGCTTTGAATTACACTGACCAGCACTTTACAGCACTTCACCGCACTACACAGCACTTACTCATTTAATATCTGTTACTGTCATCTTGTTCTAACTTGTTTCTAAAACTTCGGACACTGAGAGAAAAAGCTTTGAAAACTGCTGCAGGTAAACTGTTCCAATCTCTAATTGTTCTGTTACAAAAGGTAAACTTCCCAAGATCTGAATTTTGTTTCCTTGCTCGAATTTTGTGGATGTGATCGCTTCGGTCGAAATAATTTGGTTTTTCTAGTCTAATCTAAATTTCCTTCCAAGCTGGTTGACCTACGTACGATTTATAAAGAGCGCAAAGCCTCGCCTTCGTTCTTCTCGTTTCTAGAGGTTCCCCATGACTTTTTTGTTGCGTTACTTCTAAAGGTAAACTTATTCCTTTTTCTCTGTATTCTATCTAGTATCTAGTTTCTCTGTATTCAACCACATTTCAAAATTTTGTATACAATGAAAGGTAGTGTAAGATTGAGTTTAATGAAACGTAGCTCTAGATTTTTTATCACATGCTCTTATTAACTAATTTTATAGTTAAAACTCGAAATAGTTTTCAAGATCAACTAAATAGCAATCTTCTCATATTTTAGTTCAGTAGTAGAGATGAGTTTTGCGGCTTTCACAAGCATACAATCTTTACCAATGAGGTCTCTGAGTAAAGAGACTTTCGCAGAAACTTGACGAATTGCATTGTAACTTTAAAAATATGAAAGATTTGTTGGAAAAACGCATATGACTATTCATGTCAAATGCAACCTGCAACACTCGGGCAACAGTGTTAATTTCTATTTAGTTATATAACTCTAAAACGAAGCGTTTTAGGGCCTCAAAACTTAGATTTTTGAGACCCAATGACATACAAAAACGTTCCTCACACCGTAATCTTAAGGAAGATATTTATTTGGACATTCTATTGCATTTCTGCTGGATCGGCGCTTCTCGATATTTCATTGCATTACAATTTCAATTTCAAACGTTAGAAAGAGTAGGGTTGTACTTGTTCGATCCTGTATTTTTGCATGGACAACTTTAAGTGGCTTTCTCCAGAGTAAAAAGCTTTTCTAATATTTTTGTGACTCTCAAGGAAGGCGAAAAGAAAACGGTCAAGGATTATTGTTTAATTACTTCAAATGCTATGAAGAAAGTATTGTTAACAACTTTCCCCCTTAATTTGGAAATGGGAAGATAGGAAAGAGGTGGGGTGTGACACGCGGGAGTTCTCGCACGGGTACGCTAGTTACAATAAAATTCAAGGCTATCCTTGCATCAGGAGATCAGTTGTAGTTGTTAGTTGGTGCAGTTGACGAATCGAAGACAGTGGGTGTTTTAAATCTGAACATCGTTTTTAATTACAAAGGTTAGCGAGGTAAGTAAATGAACGCAATGTTCAATACTCGTCTGCCCACGTGTCCCTTTACAAAAAATCAATGATTATAAATACAAGTGATTCTTTGCGTTCTTAAATAAATATGGATAGCAGAAAACCCTACAAATGTTTAATTACAACATACGTGTTCAGATCTAAGTAAATATACGTTTCAATTGCAGAAACATGTTTAATTCTGTGTTCACAAAGAAGTTTCAAGGAAGGTTTAGAGTTTCTAAACCTCATTTCGCCAGTTCGGAGAATAATAACGACATGAAACAGTATTTTTGAGTTGCTTTTGTTTTTGTTTTACGTATACTGCATATGTAATACTTTTCTATTGTAACTATTTTAGAGTTCTTACTTTTGTGCAATGTAATCTAACAGGTTCATCTGGTGCAGGTTAATGTTCTAAAAGTGCTTGGCCGCTTACTGCAGGGACTGAGGGGGGCGCTTAAGAATGGCCGTTAATGATGATGACCGCTTAATAGAGGTGGACATTTCAGCAGGCCAGGCTTGTAAGTCTCCTCTGAGGGTGAATGTAGTTTTGTAAGGCTTATGCATACGATGCTCATTTAGCATTCGTTGGTATTAACTAGTACCCGCAAGGACTACTAGGGCCGGTTTCACCAACAGGAATCAAGATGATGATCCCGAGTTGATCCGGATCAACTTCGGTTTGATCCCGTTGTACGTTTCTCCACGCACTTGACACGAATCAACATGTCTGACTCGGATCAAATTTGACTCGCAATTGATCCGTCGCCGAGCGGTGGATCACGGCCAGATCAGAAGTTATTTCTCGTCTTGGTCGTCTATCTATTCCAGTTTTCCGTGTTTTTTAAGTAAACACCTGTAGTTGGACTTAGATTCGGTTTGGAAGTATTCGTTAAGAAGTAGGATTACGCGTATTATTTGTTGAGCAAACGTGTTTTTTAAGATAGTATTGTAAATAAAAGTAGGGTTAACATAATTGAAGGTTAGAATTCTCGGTATTGGGAAGTAAAATTTAAATATATTTTGGCTTCAGATTAGTGTA